CCTAGTGGCTGCGTGTCACCAGTAGTCCATCAGGTCATTAAGGAAAGATGTAGAAGTAGCCAAGACTTATGTCTAACACAGATGCCTCATATATGCATGATGAACGGTCAGGGCTTCAGAAAGTTATTTAAGCCAGCGGAGCCTCAGTTTACTAAGCTTCACTGATCTCACCAAGTTCGCCTTTAAACGTGGAAGAAAGTTGTGGTTACACTTGAGTTTGGTTTCTGATGAAACGCTAGAAACTGAGTTAATTTGATTCAAATTCAGAGACAGTTTCAACGTAATCAAGTATAAGCCGGTCGATTCAAGTGGATGAATCAATCATTGAATCACAGCCAAGGTAAACAACAAAATTTAACGTGAAAATACCGTAATACTCTCATTTAGTTTCCAGGTACCCAGCGAGTTACGCAGCATGATTGACTTTGTGCTTGTTTCCGCTTAGATTAAAGATTGTTGCGTGGTCATCTATCACGCCGCATCTGCGCTTTGGTTACACTACCTTCCTACCAGTGTGCGGGAAGCCTGCTCACCCACGTGACGGAATGATTACATCGCTATAGTGTGTGGGAATGATTAAACTCGAAAAATTAGTTAAACATTCAACGGCCAGTTAGTTTAACTTTGCGGAATGAAACACAAGGTGGATGATTTGATTTTCAAATGACAAGAGCTCGGCAGATTCATCGTGGTGTAATTTTGTATCACAATACTCTTTTAAAATCATTGTCAATAAATATACACTTCTCAGCAGCCGTAAGTGTTATGTACTCCCTCAGACAGCGTAGGTGTTAAGATCAGCTAGGCCACCAGGTAAGGTGAACACAAATTATACAAGCATAACGAATTTTTTATTTAAACTACACGAGCTTGGTTTAAGACAACATTAAAATTCTGCCGTTCATTTTGACATTAGAATAGTCTATTTATTAAATAGTGAATTCAGTACATTTAAAAAACATAGAACTACTGTTTTCCCCGCCAGCAGGAAGCACAGGTCAGTGGTGAATACCTACACGTTCCAAGGAAATAACGAAAACTGAATACGGCGGCCTGCTTGAATCAATGGGCTACTTCATTTTCCATCCAATACATTGCATCTTGTTTTCTTTAGTTCTTTCCATCAAGATGACTGAAATTATCCCACACGCTCAAGGTCATTAAGGGAGTTAGACATTTGACAGTCATTTTCGTCCATATCAGTCTGCAGTGTCGGATTGCCGTTCCCTAACCGTTCGTTTACACATTGGCTTTTACGTTTATCCTGCGGTTATTCACAACTTATCTTGATGTGAATTGTTCACAAACGTTGCATTTCACCTCATTTTTGTTTCCGTTGTTGTTAAAATTAGTTATTTTGTTTGTTTCGAAATTTTTCACCACCAGGTCAGTTTATTCATTTCATTGCATTTGCATTATACGTTGTATTCATACGTGGTTACAGTATTTAGTTGTTTCCAGCTTTTTACGAAATACTACCGTGAAGAAGTTTTGGAAATTATGCACATGAACATGTTTGGGTGGCAGAAGCTGTTGTTTCCAGTTCATTTGTTTGTTGCCTCTATTGTTGCTGACTCAATTGGTTACTTAATATGCAGAAATCTGGAAAAAACAATGTCTTTCAGGTTCATGTTTGCAGCATGCAACCATCTACGAGTGAATTTGGTGAAGAGAGCACCATCAAAGTTGATATTAGCAAAGTTTTCGAAGAACATATTAAACCTGTAGAATATAGAACCTGGGTTGAAGTCGACAAGGCTTGGAAGCTTTTTGAGGTGAGTGTACCATCAGTGTGTCTATTATCACTTAAAAGCCAGATATATTGTGAGAGATTCTAAATCAAACAAGGTTGAGACATATGCGAAGGGTGATAATGTGGTTTTATATATACATTTGGAAACAAAAAGAAGTCGCAGGCCAATCACAAACCTCCAAAGGGTAAGTGTTACATAGGGTTGTAAGTGCCCATAATACTAGATCTAAACCCACGAACTGTATGTAGTTAAGACCATGTCATCAGCCATTCAATATGTTGCAAAACGATTTAAAAGTGGATCGCATACAATGATCTGGAGTGTACAAATTATCCTAAATAAAGGCAAGACTTTGATAAGCAAGCATAACGGTTCGCACTTAGGTCTGAAATAGGTGGCCACTGCCACCGAAGACGGTTACCGCCATCGCATATTGACGGGATGGTTTGCCGTAGACTTCGAGTGACTTCCAAAATCACAAGGTTTTCTGGACCATTTCGCTTCCTGGCCAAAGGTATTGTGATACCAACACCAGTCAGGGTTTTAAAGTGAACGTGGCCCGGATTCTGACTGACCACATGAGTTTTGCCATCGGGGAGAGCTCGGATGACGATAGGAGGAATTACGTGGATTATTTGACCCAAGTAGCTGCAAGACGGAGTTGCATAACTCTATTACTTCAGTGTCCCTGCTCGAAGTTTGTCCGGCAGTTGAGCATATTTCAGTGACTGGCCGTTGTGTTATTTCTAGAATTTTATCGGTGGAGGTAGCTAAGTCGTCTATAATTCATATATATTTATTCATATCTATGTAGGACACACCAGTTGTACAGGCATGGATAATTAATGCGTCTGAAGCTTATGTATTTACTCCCAACAATGACATTGCAGATCAAATGAGATAAACATATCACTGATTTCAAAATAACACACCAATGAACTATAATTCAAGGATTCCGCACACAACGAAGTTATGTATGAAAATTGACTTCAAGCTTTATTTTTTTCCCAGGCACTTATAATCCATCCACCAAAGACCTGGTATTTTGTTAATGCGAAGACAATACTTCTGTATTTCCTGATGTGTTGCACTCACTGACAATCAAGCAGATTTTTCCAAGTGTGTACAGAAATGATTGTGTATAAGTGAAAAGGCTGTTTTATACAACTGGGATTAACATGTAAGGCATATCTTGCTACTGCCTGTAAATTGCGATTGAATTATATGGTTCTATTTCTGTAACAATTTGATGATGCCTGTAAACTGGCGTCCCTCATGTACTGTACTATGAGAATAAATTTATTTATTTATTATTATATATATGTATTTATTCCTGTTTATGCAGGAACATACCAATTGTACAGGCATGGATAAGTTATTATATAAATTACAGTTTGTTTGTTCAATCGAACATTAGAGTCAGTCAGAACATTCTGCAAAATAGTCTGTCTGTGTAACACATAAAGGGATATAGAAATATTGTCTTCGCATTAACAAAAAAACCCAGACTTCAGATGAATGTGATACAAATATCTGGGAAAAATAAAGCTTGAAGTCAATTCTCCTATAAAACTTTGTTGTGAACAGCATCCGTGAGATAAAGTTTATTGATGTATTATTTTGATTCAATAATGTATTTATTCCACTTTTGTCAGCAGTCTTATCGTAGTTTTATAATAGGAAAGAAATTTGATCTTTGATACGAAAATTAGATAAGGTAATGTTAGATTGTTTTACTGCATCAAATGGGGTCAATTCTAGAACTATCCACTTGCGCCATTTGCGTCAGCATGGCAGACTGTACATGTAAGTTGAGTAATACATTGG